CCAATAATTGATGAAACAGATAAAGCAATTCCACAATTAAAATCCATAACAACATCCATTTAATTAACAGAATAGAATTTAATAGTTCATTAATTAAAATCCAACCTAAGCACAAATAAAGTCCAACCGATATATGACCCTATTATGCATCCAATATAGATTTCAAAATCATACTCTAGTCATCTAACCGATACATGACCCTATTATGTATCCAATATAGATTTCAAAATCATACTCTAGTCATCTAAGTTGCCAAAATAAGTTTAAGCAACTAGATACTTTATATCCGCCAACAGTATGCGACATTTCTTAAAACTTCCACACTGTGAAAACCATTACCATATAGAGATAAATTATGCATTATTGGTTCTAATACAGCATAATATCATGTTTAGAGTCCATGTTACAGTCCGTTAAATTGTTAACACAAGATTAAACAATTTAATTCTTCCTATCCGTTAACCGCGTGCAAAATTGCTTATTTTTATACTATTCATTCTATTTGCACTACGGATCAAATTATGCAATTAGAGAGTTTAAAATCCCATGAAATTACATTTAAAATCCTCAGTCCAGTCCTTGAAACAATCCAGAATACCAAACACAACCAAAACAATGCCCAAAACAGTTCTAGAACGCTTCAAAACAAGGGAGCCTACTCTCTAAACAACAGAGCAGGCTCTATGCACCATGGAGCCAGCTCCCTAGCCCTTGGAGCGGGCTCTATGAAGGGGGGAGCTGGCTCCCAACCTCCTGGAGCCAGCTCTTTCCTTCTTTGAGAGCGTTGATCCCTTTCTGATCCGTTTCCGGCCATCTGCTTCGTCTCCGGCCTCTTCCTACCTTTTTGTTCTTCCTTAAAACTAATCTTAACAGTCTAATGTATATCCAGTAGCATCCCAATGATTTGTTTACAATAGTTGGAATTAATTACTGTGATTAAAACCGTTACCAATTTTTTATGCGATAACACAGAACTTGAACTTCAACTTGCATGAACAATTACAGATTACATTAAAACACATACCGTTGATTAATTCAGCGTAAACTAAGCATGCAAGATTCAATTAAAGTTTAATTAAAACCCTAGAGACCATCTAGGTATGCACAGAACATAGGCCAAGGGAGAGAGAAAGAAAAGAACTTGCCAGTGCAATTTTGGAATCAAAACCTTGTCACCGTCTTCCTAAGCTTTCCGACGACGTCCGTTTACTGTTAACTCAACCTCCTACTGCTCAACCTTCCCTCCTCCTAGGTCCGACCTTTAAGCCACAGCCGAAACCCTCACCGACCATGCTTTGTTTTCTCAATACCTCTCTCTGTTATGTCTCTGCCTTAACTATGCCGTGAATAGGGTATTAAAACCCTAGGCAGACGTATGATATATATTTATAGGCAATTGCTAAACCTAAGTCCAATTAAAACCCTAAACTAAACCATAGTCGGCCAAAAGAATAAAACCTAATTTAATTAAACAAACCAATTAATTTAAATAAACAAATATGACAATAAATTCCTAATTTAACCAACCAATTAATTTAAATAAAATAAATAAGACAGTTAAATACATTTTTCACATAAGCATACATTAATGAAAATACAAATGCAATTAATTCAATTAAACCACTAATTAAACAAAAATGTAATTAAATACACAATGAAGCAATTAAATAAAATAAATAACAAAACAATTTAACAATTTAACAAATAATCAATTAATAAAAAAAAAAATGTAATTAAAATGCTGAGACTATCCTTTTAAAATTAGGGGTATTACAGGGGTCCACTAGATGGATTCCCGAGTTGTAATAATATTGAAGGTTTTGGTATTATTGGATTATTTAATTAGTTATTCAAGGATTATTATTTAGATTCTTTTCAACTTAATTATTATTTTTTATTTCTTCTTGTATTCTAAGCTTGTTTATATACTTAATTGTTTGATATCTCTCGGATCTGTGCTCGGACTTGATCACCCATGGCTCTAAAATCGAGGGGTATCATATTAGATGACCTCATCTAACCGGTTAGATGATGCCCAGAAAATATGTGATCGATTAGATTGCATCCCAGCACTGTGCAGATGCAATGCAAAGTGTACGAACCCCAACCACAAGTCCGTGCGTGAACATAATCTAACTCAACAACATTGCATATAATCACCAAAATAAGTACTTGATACATCATTCGAAGGTCAAAAAATTGTATAAACTCGTTCATACATACCCAAAAGAATGTTTCTTATCTAAAAGAATAGGTTTACAATAATAAAGCCTCCATGGCTATGACCACAAAGACTTCACATGGAGCCAATAAAAGAATAGAGTTATATACATTTGATCATTGTTGAAGATACCGAAAATGACTTGGGCCGGATACAACCCATATTACTAAAGATTGGATTCGAAAAGAACGCTGGGCCCGATCGGATGACCACCCATCAGGCCCAATATCCAGTGAGACAAACCTCAAGCCCAGTCTCAAAGCAAAGGAAATGGACCAATGTCCAAAGAGGAGCCCAAAAGATCAATCCAACATAGAGGACTTAAGAAGAAACTTCTAGAACAATTGTAAAAGTTTCTAAATAGAATGAAAAGAGAGGGAAAAAATGTTGAAATATTTTTGAAGTGTAAAGACTTATCCTTACAAATTGAGAGAGTTTGTTCATTGCACTTTCAATGGCACCGTTTATGGGAACCGAAGGGAAGATCCAGTTGATCCTCAAGTACGCTGCAAACAGATTAATCATTCTTTTGGAGGATCAGGATTGATCTGCGAAGTTGAAGCTTGATTTCTTGAAATTGGACTCAGACCTGAGAAGATCGTGATCTATTTTGCAAAGGATTGATTTTGATTGACGAAGGCCAGATCCGACGAACTCACGGTGAAAAAATTCAGATCCAGTCGACGGAGATCGGGATTTGGCCAGGTGAAGGCCATATCTGACGAATTCACAGCAAAAAAGTTCAGATCTAGCCGACGGAGATCCAGATTTGGTTAGGCAAAGGCCAGATCTGATGAATTCACGGTAGGATAATTCAGATCTATTCAAAATTTAACAGTTAATGACTCTTTTCCAATCAGGAACGATGATCGAAGGTGAGAGTTCTTGTCCACAAGAGAATGAACAACATGCAAAGCTTGATGAGTTGATGAACCTGATTGAGGCTCTAAGAAGAGAAAATGTGGAATTGAGAGCAGGAATGGAGTGGCGAGAAGTTTCGGCTGTTCCACGACCGCCTCCGGCAAGAGAAATAATTCTGCAGCCAAATGTTGTTCACCAGAGCAAACAAGAAAAAAATGTTCATCGGATCCGCACCGCGAAAAGTTCAGGCCGGAAGATTTTCTGCCAAATGTCCATCATATAGACGATCGAGAAGGATCTGTCCATCTGGATCCACATCGTGAAAGGATCCGGTGAGATGATACTATGGAGATCGATCCGCATCGCGAAACGATCAAGCATAAAGAACCCATGGAGTTCAATCCATATCGAGAAAGGATCAGGTGAGAAGTAGCCATGGAGTTCGGTCACAATAAGGCTATGCCATTGTGGCAGAGGGAGTCAACTGAAGAAAGGATGTTCGATCCAATCTATCGGCCATCAATGGCCACGTATGATTACAGGAGTTTAGGCAAGAGATCTGTTGAGCAAAAGATACTCCCGAAGGAAAATGAAGCCCTCCATTTGGCAGCTCGGACTGTCGATTCATCGTTTACAGATGAGATCTTGAATGCTCCAAATCTAAGAAAATTCTCCATGCCAGTTTTTACTTTGTTTGATGGAACAAGCGATCCGATCAAACATGTTTATCACATTCAGCTGAAAATGGCTCTGAATACAGAAAATGATCCTCTAATGTGCAAAGTTTTTCTTATGAGCCTAACCGAACCGGCGCTCAACTGGTTCAAGAACTTGGCAAGAGGATCGGTGGAAAGCTTTCGGAACCTATGCGACAGATTCATAAGCCAATATTATGGAAACAAGTGGCTGGCCAAAGATATATCAAGTCTGTTTACAATGAAACAGCTGGAAGGTGAATGTCTCCAAACTTTTCTCACAAGGTTTAACCTAGAAAAGAGCATGGTAATAGAGTGTCATCCATGGCAGTTCAAGCATTCAAACTGGCCATGAACCGAGGGACACCGTTCCACACAAATCTAGTGGTGAATACACCGACGACCATGGATGAGCTAAACCAGAGAACTGATGGTTTTGTGCACTTGGAGGAAGAGGAAGCTGCCAACATAAGGAAGACGTCTATGGTCGCAACGGAAAAGAAGACCAGAACGATGATCAGATAAAAGCAAGCTGCGCTATAGTGTTCGACCCCCTAGAAAGTAGAAAAGAGGCCTAGGGAGGAAGAATTGATCACTCCACTCAAAGTCAGCCTGGCAAGATTGTTCCAAGAAAATAAAGATGAGTTTCGCCCTCCCCTACCGATTGGATAACCACTCGAACAAAGATATCAATCCAAACATTGTGTTTTTCATAGTGATTTTGGACATCTGACTAATGAATGCAGAAATTTAAGAAGACAAGTGGAGATGCTGATAGCAAAGGGAGAGTTTACTGGCTACATTCAAGGACCAGCAGTGGAGTAGAACCGACCGGCTGAGCAACTAAAGAGAAATCAGAAGCCGAACTACCATAACACTTAACCTGTTCGTATAATAAATGCAATTGATGGTCGGCCTGAGCCGACCGAAGAATCAAAAGAACTGCTTTGAACACATCTTCGACAAGCACAAATGAAAAAAAGGATAGGCAGTGTAAACGCTCTACACCAGCAAAACAACTCAATTCAGATAAGGTTTGATAGAACGGATCTGTTGAGAGTTCAAGCCCCTCATGAAGATCCTCTGGTTATTAGCTTGATGGTAGCAGAATGCTTGGTTCAAAGAGTCTTGATTGATCCGGGGAGCAGCGCGAATGTCATGATAAGAGTAACGTTTGATCGGCTCGAGATTGAACCAAAAAGGCTTAAACCACAGGAAATCCAATGTTAGGATTCGATGGGAAGTGGGTGGAGCTTATCAGTATAGTCGAGTTGCCAGTATTTGCTGCCGAGAGAGAATTGATGGAAAGCTTTGTGGTCGTTGAGATTCACCCATCTTATAATCTCTTGATGGGAAGAGGGTGGATTCACAGAGTCCAAAGTGTCCCATCAACTTTGCACCAGGTAATGAGATGCTTAAGTCCAGATGAGAGTAAATTGATTGATATCCATAGGGACCAAGCAGCAGCCAAGAAGTGCTACTTTGTAACTCTGAAAGCCGGCAGGAAGGGAAAAGCGCCTGTCCGATCTGATAGCCCAGGATACCAATTACAGGGGCCTTCACCTAAAGAAGTTAGGAAGGAAGAAAAACCTTTTGTCCTTACTGAAGAACCCCTAATGGATATGCAGATTAATCCTCTGAGACCAGACAGAACCACAAGAGTAGGGTCAAGGCTTGCAAAGGAGGAAAAACGGCAGCTAGTTAATTTTTTGTCTAAAAACGCAGATGTGTTTGCCTAGAGCCATTCAGACATACCAGGAATTGATCCCTCTGTGTCTTGTCATTCCCTCAATGTAGATCTGAACGTTAAGCCTATTAGACCGAAGCAAAGGAGGGTCGCCCTAGAGCGCAATCAAATCATAACTGATGAAATTGATAGATTGCTGGAGGCAGGGTTCATCAGAGAAGTTCAGTACCCATCTTGGCTCTCAAACGTGGTTGTAGTGAAGAAGAAGAATGGGAAATGGAGAGTTTGTATTGATTTCACTAACCTGAACAAAGCTTGTCCAAATGATAGTTTTTCGTTACCAAAGATTGATCAAATGGTGGATGCCACTACTGGGTATGAACGGCTAACTTTTCTGGATGTTTATTAAGGTTATAATCAAATTCTTATGGATCCGAATGATGAAGAAAAAACCTCTTTTGTCACCGAACGAGGGATCTATTACTATAAGGTCATGTTGTTCAGACTAAAGAATGCTGGAGCCACTTACCAAAGGCTGGTTAGCAAGATTTTCAAAAGTTAAATGGGCAAAACCGTAGAAGCCTATATTGATGACATGGTAGTAAAAAGTAAAAAGAAGGACCAGCATTTGCAACACTTGCAAGATATGTTTGAGGTATTAAGGAAATACGACATGAAGCTTAACCCAACTAAATGCTCGTTCGGTGTGGGTTCTGGGCAGTTCCTGGGGCATGTGGCCAATAGCAGAGAGATTGAAGTTAGCCCATCCCAAGCTGAAGCTCTGATAAAAAATACAGAACCAAAAACCATTAAGGAGGTTTTGGCGCTCACAGGACGGATAACAGCACTAAGTCGATTTATTTCTAAGTTATTAGATCGCTGCAAACCATACTTCGACATAACAAGAGGCCACGGAAGGCAAGCCAGAGAGGCTGAGCAACGACGGGCACTGACCAAGTTGAAAGAGTATATACAAAACCCTCTAATATTATCTACCCCAAAACTAAGTGAGAAGTTTTTCATATATCTTGGCATATCGAGCATTGCAATAAGTGTCATTTTGGTACGAAGTGAAGAGGGAAAATAATTCCCAGTGTTCTATATTAGCAAAACAATGGCCAAACCCGAAAGAAGGTATTCAAAGGCCGAGATCTTATCAATGGTGAATGCAAAGAGGAAACTCATGCACTATTTTGAATCCCATCTTATCGTCGTTCTTACCACCTTTCCTACAAGGGTAATCCTACATAAGCCAGATCTATCGGGAAGAATGGCAAAGTGGGCCATTGAGCTGAGCTCATTTGATATAACGTATGAACCCCGAACGGCCATAAAAGGACAAGCGGTGGCCGATTTCCTGCTAGAATGTGATGTAGAATATATAGAAGAAGACCTCGAAAGTTCATCATGGAAGCTTTCCGTTAATGGTTCTTCAAATCAAATGGGGGAAGGCATAGGGATCAAACTGCAGACACCAGAAGGTACCACGCTGTGTTAAGTGATCAGACTTGAGTTCAAGGCAACTAATAATGAAGTAGAGTATGAAGCATTACTGGCAGGATTGAGACTAGCCAAAGAACTAAAGGTCAAGAGTCTGGTTGTTTTTAACGATTCGCAGTTGATCGTTAGGCAGGTGACTAAGGAGTATGGTACTAAAGATGAGACAATGGTGGCATACCATTCTGCCGTTATGCATGAAGCAAAAAACTTTGATCAAATCAAGTTCATCCAATTACCAAGAAAATATAATAAGGATGCGATCAGTTGACCTGTAGTGTGTCAAGTTCCGGAGAAACACTGGCAAGGGTGATTCCAGTTGATGTGTTATGTCAACCCTCCATCTTTGAGGAACCACTCAGTTCGGATCCTCGACAAGTAAATGCCATACCATATGAATCGAGCTGGATTGATCCAATCATGATTTTCATACGAGATGGTGTGTTGCCTGAATAGAAACACAAGGCAAGAAAAATCAGATCAAATGCTGCAAAGTATGTCATTATCCATAATCAATTATATATGAGATCTTTCTCGGGTCCGTATTTGAAATGTGTTACCCCCTCAGAGGCTGGGCAGATCCTGCGAGCTATCTATAAGGGTGTATGTGGCAATCACTCAGGAGGGAGATCTCTGGCACACAAAACAATGACGTAAGGATATTTTTGGCCAAATATGTCGCGGGATACAGAAAAATTCTCTAGAAGATGCGATAAGTGCCAAAGGTTTGGACCACTAATCTACCAACCACATGAAGATTTGCGCGTAATGGCCAAACCATGGCCTTTTGCGCAATGAGGATGGATGTGGTTGGCCTTCTGTTGAAGGCAAAATCACAGAACAAACACGTTCTGCTTACAATAGATTATTTTACCAAATGGGTAGAAGCCAAACCATATCCTAGTGTAACCCAAACTAAAGTAAGACGCTTCATCTGGAGCAATATCATTTATCGTTTTGGTGTGCTGAAATTAATCGTTATGGATAACAGAACCAATCTGGACAGTAAGCAAATAAGGAACCTGTTAGAAAAGTATGGAATCAATAAAAAGTTAGCAGCGGTTAGCCATCCGCAGGCAAACAGTCCAGCCAAAATCACAAACAGAACAATTTTTACTTATATCAAGAAGAAGCTTGAAGTCAAGAAGGGTAAATGGTTAGACGAGCTTCCGAACGTCTTGTAGGCTTATAGAACAACCCTTAGATGACTAACCAGTGAAAACCCATTCGCTATACAGCACTGAGGTAGTAATACCGGTTGAGCATTTAGTTTCGATTGTTCAAAGTTTGGCATGGGATCAAGAGCAGAACGACAGTATGTTGAAATTTAACCTTGATTTACTAGAAGAGAAAAGAGATTCAGCAATAATAAGACTCACGTCTGACTGGTCCTTGTGAGGGTCGCTACACCATATCAAGCTTGAGGAATGTGCATTAAGGCGAGGGCCAAGAGTTTTACATTTATAAAAGCCACTACTACCTTCACTAAAAATATAGCAAGAGTGAGTAGGGATCGTCCCAAGGGATTAAAGTCGTACTTGGTTGTGGAATCGCAATTAGGGTTAGTAGGTCGAGTGATCAAACAAATGGTTGGTTGGTTGATTAAACTAGAGAGCAAATTAAACTAAATAATTGAATGCAATAAAGAGTAAGTAAGAGAGAGAGATCTTGGGGGTTTAGAGGTCACCACCAAGCAATGCTTTTCTATATTCTTAACAAGTGACTAAGGAGAGTAATGTGTGTTGCAATATTGATGTGTGTGTGTGTGTGTTTGGTTGATTCAATTAGTAAGGGTGACCAATTAAGCATACATTGTCTAATCAACATGTGAAAAGCACAATACATCTAGCAATTAAGTATATATTGTCTAAATAGCATGTGAAAAGCACAACATATCTAGCAAGTCATTAATCATTTCGTTAAGCTCACAAGCCAAATACACCACAAGGTTAGAGACATATGCTACTTGTATTCAAAAGTATGGAACATCAAACAACTAGCAAGGATTATCCTCTCATCTAACAACTATGCTACTACTACACTACAATTAAGCTAATGACATGAAATTTAACTAATTAAGCTAAGGGAGAGGCATAATCCATCAAGAAATGAGCATGGACCATCTAGAAAATCACAAGAGTATTCTTTTAAGCACAATGTTTTGACAATCTCTAAATCTATAGCATTAATACACATAGACATGCATCAATAATACAAGAAATAGAGGCAAACACATGAACATCTATTCTAGCATACATAGACATATAGATAGAATGAAATGATCAATTGGAAGCATTAAACCACATAAATCATTGAATAAACAAGATCTATATATATAAGAGTGTCAAAACATGTATTACAACACTAATCCCTCAATAATACACAATATTAAGATATAGAAAGCATGTTTGGGGCTAACTCTAGCCCCAAGAGGATGTCTAGCCACTCATGGTGATGTTGCTCCAACCCTCAAGGGCTAACTCCATGGAAGAGATTTGCTTCTTGGTTGATGAAGAGTCTCCAATGGTGTCTCTAGCCTCCTCCTCCTCTAAACTTGCCCTCCAAGAGAATAAACCCTAGAAATGTGTATATGCCTTAAAAAGTGCATCATATTCCTTTTATAGGTAGGTCAAGTGACACACAAAATGAGCTGGGGTCGTGCAAAGAATATTCTCTAATGATTGGATAGAGGACGGATTGAACAAGCTGGAAATTTAACTTTTTCGCACTGGAAGAAGTTCGATCAATCGAACCTTGGACTTGGATCAATCGAACTGGCTGAGATCCATTGAATTACGGCGGATCGATCCAACTGGTTGAGCTTTTTGGGAAAAGACAAATCCGAGATATTTTGGGAGATATTTTTGGGAAAAGGATAAAAGTGGTTAGTAGGTGGTACAGTTGTGGATAGGATCAATCATTTGAATAAGGACAAAAGTGTTCGATCGATTGAAGGGTGGTGTTGGATCGATCGAACTTTGACTTTTTCCTTTTGGGTCAAGGCTTGGATCTATCTTGAAGTGTTGAGATCGATCAATGTTCGATCGATCGAACCTTGAAGTTGGATCGATTGAACTTTGCTGCTTCCCACCTTTGGCTTCACTTGCTTCTTTCTTTCTCCACTTTGCTCCTTTCTTTGTTTAATCCCAGAATTGCTTCAATTTAGCTCTTATTTGGCTGAGTTAGCTTATTTTTGGGATAAGTACCTGAAAATGGAAATAATACGAAATCAATCTAAAACGGTAAAGTAAGATAGATAAAGGTACTAGAATGCCTAAGCTTAAGGGGTTTAAATACGCACTTTTCAGCGCTCATCAACGTCTTATTTGCAAACACTTATAAATAGTTACAACAAAAAGGTGAAGCATAGAGATTTTGCACCTGGTGACTTAGTTTTGAAAAAAAGGTAGGAATCGTCAAAAAGATGATGTCACCCTGGGAAGGTCCATACAGAGTTACAGAGGCTATAGGAAAGGGGGCATACAATCTAGAGACCAAGGCTGGAAGATGGGTCAATAAACCATGAAACGCTACGTCTCTAAAAAGGTATTACCAGTAGAATTAGATTGCAAGATTCAATTCCATTCTGAACGATGTTCATTTAGAATTGTGCTTATATGAATGTATCGATCCAACAAGATTTATAAAAAGAATTCATTTTGTTTCAAAAATTGATTGAGCAAGAAACACTTAGTAAAAGTCAAGTAAATGGCAAATGGCACATGAGCCGAACGCCAAAAAGTTGCACAAAATAAAAAATTCAGTGGCAAGTGACATTCTAGCCGAGCGCTAAGCACTTAGACAAAGTAAGTGGCAAATGGCACTATGAGCTGAACGCCAAAAACTTGCACAAAATAAAAAGTTCAGTGGCAAGTAGCATTCTAACTGAGTGCCAAGCACTTAGACAAGTAA